AGATTTTATAACAAAAATCTTAAAAAATCAATTTGCAATTCAATTTTTGTTTTCTTTCTTCGATGATATATGACAATCGCTGACGATTTTTATTCGAATAAAACAATGTATATAAATATGCGATATTATTAAAATAAATAAAGAATAAATAAAAAGAGACTAACATAAGATATCACGAATCTTTCAATGGAATTTATATTTTTTTAATTATATATATAATTAATTATATTATTCTTTTTTTTGTTTCTCTTCCTGACGATACCAACGATTTGTAATTCAATTCTATTAATTTTAGAATTTACGTTTGACCAAACTTCGCGTTTAAAAAAAAGTAATATAGAAAGAGTAACGCGATTTAATTAAAATGAAAAAAAAAAAAAGGAAGAAAAAAAAGTAAAAGACAAATACATTGATACAATTTCCAAATCAAATTTCTTCTCTCTCTCTCTCTCTCTTTTTTAATATAATCCTACAAATATTATTTCGATATTCCTACAATTCTTATAACTTGAGTTTCATAATTAGTAGTAGAACACGAGTGAAATAAAAATAACGTGTACCCGTATGAGTAAATCGAGAATAAGAGAATGCAGATACGTTTCAGTATTGTTTTCTTCTAACCCTTCGAGAATTTCTTTTTCCGCGTGCGATTTTCTCTTCGCCACCCTTCTTATTTTTCTTTTTTTTTTTTCTTTGTTTTCCTTTACTCTTTTCTTCTTCCCACTTCGTAGTCGTACATTTACGAACAACCAGCCACCCTTTCTTTCTCTTTACGTGCCATCTTTTCCTCCCCTTTTTTCTCTCCCTCTCTCTCTCTCTCTCTCTTTTTTTGTTCTTCTTCATATTCTTCTTCTCCTACTTTTTCTTTTTTCCTTAGTTCATCTCACTTCCACCTGCTACCCTTTTCATTTTACGCGAGGGGGTGTATTTCCTACAAAAGGTAGGCGTGTCTGCGTTTATGGAATCTTCTGAAATTAAACGGGACTCGTAAACGTATATATATACATACACACATACATATATGTATATGAAAATTTGATTTGAAATGATGAACGTGATAACTTTATGACATTTTTCTCGATATTATACGTTTCCAGGTGTTACCATTTCCACAATATATATCTCATATTCTATAGGTAATAATAAACGAAAAAAATATAATATATATATACACACATGCATATGTATTTATATACGTAGTGATTTTTATACCAAAAAAAAACAAAATGCAAGAATAAAAGTATCATCTCATTTTCCTGCTTTTTCTTTTTTATTTTACTTCGAAGAAAAATGTAATTCTCATTTAAGTAGATCGTACGATTTAATACACACTTGTTGTTGTTGTTGTTGTTTTTAATGTATAAAAACAAAAAATAAAGCATCAAAAATAGTGAAAGAATAGAAATATATATATATACGTATTCATCAAAATATATTGTTAACATTTGAATAAATTAAATCACAAATCTCGATGATAAATAAAACAAAAAGAAAAAATTAGAAATATTTAATTTGGACGTTTATCAGTATATTTGTAATAGAATACAACAAAAACAAATATAAATGCTAATAGAATTGATATTTCTCGTTTGTTATCGATCATTGTATGATCTTCTTCTTCCCATTAAAAAATTTTCATTTAATACATTTTATATAAAATAATAAATATAAAAAAATGAACACACACCATATATATATATAAGAGGATATCACGGTCGATTAGGTTTTCCCTCTTGAATCAGAGTTAACCGTAAAAGAGTAGGGGAGTAGTAAGTTGAATAGACCTCTGCAAAGCTTGTTACCCTGTGATACGAGCGCGCTTTCCGTCGTCGTCGTAGCCAATCGAATTGACTGAGGAGAACGAGGAAGACTCCTCGACAACCATGGGGAATCCCGCGGGAAAGCTAGGAAGAGAGGAAGTGAAAAGCAAATATAGGAAGTAGTAGTAGTATTAGTATTAGTACGTTCAACCACCTACGTTAAATGATAATAGGTGAAACAACACCCTTTACCCTTCTGACAGCCTGCTACGGTAGTCCCTGATTTTCGGGCAAATCGGCACTTTTTCTATCGAATGGCCCGCCGACACCCCTGGCTAGAAATTGGCTCTACCTGAACAGGTGAGAGAGTATTATATTGTTCTACCTTTAAAGGACACACCACGAATCTTTCTATTCCTATATTTTGAAAGATAAAGAGAGAGAGTGAGAGAGAAGGAGACTATTAGGGAGCAAAGTGAATAGACAGTATGGAACAGGATTGAAGTCCTGAGTAGGATGTTACCAATTCCTATATTGTTAGATGGAAGGAGGAAGAGGTGGGGGAGGGTGAGGTTGGGGTTAATCTTGAAAGGATGAGAAAGGAGGGTATAATTGGTTGGTGACTGGATCAAAATGCTGTTCAACCATCTCGATGTGTTTCCGTCGAATTAAATCAATAATGGAATCGGTATACCCTTGAGTATTGCTAACTATAGCTAGTCTTATAACCATAAGCTTGAGATTGACTTGATTATTAACCGAGATTAAACGATTTAATATTACTTGTCTATAGGGGTATATATATAAGTGTGTGTATACGTTCAAATAATCTATTAATTTTAATTCGATTTTTAACGATCCAATTGTTTTATTTTTCTTTTTCTTTTTCTTTTTCGACAAAATTCAAGATAAAATAATACTTTTTTATTTTCGTTAAGATCGAATTTGAATTTCGTATATTTTTTTTTAATCAATAACGTTTAGGTATCTAACGTGTGATGTGTTGTTTCTCATCGATGGTTTGCATCTGTCTTGTCAATGAACAGGATGCCACACGTTGACGAAAGTAAATTTCGTTACTGGCCAAATGGGATCAGGAAACGCTTGGAAAACTCATCGATGAAAGCACGCGTGCGCTTTCAATGAAAATTTGAGGAACATCTGGAAAACGCTTTCGAACGCAATACCGAAATCTTTGCAATAGGGGATAAAGGGTTAGACTACTTTTCTTTTTTTTGGTTTATATCCAAATATAGATATGAAAATATATTTTTTAATTGTCTTCATTTTACTCTAGGGTATCGTTAATGTTAATTAATGTCTTAGAATTTATTCGGTTGTTTTATTTGATCGAAAGTGGAACAATCGAATCATTTTGGATAATTGACTACATTTCTTTTGTTCCATATGATTTTATTTTACACATTACAATTATTTATATTGTATAATAAATTTTTGTATAATTTTTAATCTACTATCATAATTATTACACCGCGAAACAATCTTGGTCCTAATAAATATGAACGTTTTCAACAAAACAAAGTACAACAGAGAAAAAGAGAGAAAGAGAGAGAGAGAGAGAAAGGAAGGAGTGCTACTTTTTCTCGTTTCGAAACAGGGTATCATAGAATTTCCGAGTATTTTCCTGTGTTTCGCGTAGAAATAAAAAAAAAGATATATGTATATGAAAAATAATAAATAAAAGTATAAAAGTTAATGTTTATTTTAACGTTTATCGTACGTATATTAAACTTGACATGATAAAAAATAAATACCATATAAAAATCATCGTAGTTTCGAAAAAATTGTTTTTATTTATATTTAAACAATGAAATAAAACAATTAAATAGAATAATAATGATATATAGGTTTATGTTCTTGCGTCTGTTGTATCGTACTCGTGTCAATTTATTATTCGAATTATTCTTCACTATAATAATATATATAAAAATAAGAATAATATCAACTATCGTCAAGGATGATAACTAAACGTCACAAACCAACATATCGTAATCTCTTTAACTTTGACATACGATCGTCAAAACGATTGTCTAGTCCTAAAACCGACCAGGATTTCATTGAACCGAGGGTATCCCGTAGGCAAGCATGGATTCCACTTACCACCACCATCTTTCCCAGAATTTTTCTCTTCCATCGTTAACATAAACTCCTAGTCGTAAGGGAAATTCATCCTCACGCTGTTGGGAATTTTCTCTCGTTTCATCCGTTGAATAATCGGATAGCCTCGTGTATCCGGTTTCACGTGAAAATGGGGAAAATGTAGGAAACGATAGAACTTTGACATCCTAACAGCCTGTTTATATGTCCTTCGTTTTCTTTCGGAAAAAGAAGTGACGAATTTTCTTCCAGGAAAAAAATGAAACGAACTCTAGGCCAGGCAACTAGATGGCTAGCTAGCTAGCTTGCTATGTATAGTAACTGGAACAATCCTTTTTCTTCTCCCTCGGGATACGCAATCCGAATAAACCTCCTCTTCCTCGTTTCTATACTTTCCTATTATGAGAGCGCTTCAATCATTTGTAAAATTTAGATTTTCCGGAAAACTTATCTAACATTTTCATACTTTCTTCAAAGCTTATCTTCAAGATTCGTAGTTTTCTTCCTTTTCTTTGTTTTTTTTTTTTCATTTCAATAAAAATATCCTTTTGCCATAGTCCTTTATAATTAAAAAGTCATAATCGGGTAAAATGGTTTCGAGATACGGAAAATTAAATCATTCGAGGTAATTTCATTTCTTTTGTTAAATTATTTAATAACATTTATATTCATTTATATTCATTTATAATAATATTATGTTTTTATACATATACATATGTATATATATATATATATAAAAATATGTTAAATTATTTTACACTTGTCTTTTTTCTCTCGATTTTAAATATATTTTACCATCTATGATATAACGAATACTTACCATACTGAATCGTTAAATACGAAAATGAACTTACCGTCTTATGATATTTCATTTGAAGAAATCTACAATATCGACAGTAGTTAAATAGATAAATCTAAATTAACACAACGGTAGATAATTTTTTATGATTATAAAATATATAATTTTAGATACAAAAAAAGCATAACAAATTAATCTTTTATTTTATTTCTTTTCTTATTTCAATAAAAATAATTCAAATATTGTTTGAATATAAATAACAAACGATTGCGAATTTCTACTTTAACTTGACTCACTTATTCAGTTAGCTGTGATCCTTTGGCGCGTAAATACTATCACGTTTTCGGAGATTGTTTTTATAATTAAACTCGTGCATTGTACTTAATAATAATAATATTTATTTGTGTATTAATCTTGATTCTATATAATAGAAAGTTAATATAAAAGTGAAGAGTGTTTTAGAAACAATAATGGCGGAAGGACCACCAACAAAAAAATTGAAGACTATAGATTTAATAACCAAAATAGAAAACGATAGAAAGAATGTGAGATGCACATGTGTTTATGCAGATAATCTTATAAATATTATTATTTGTTCTTATTAAATCATCAAATATCGTTTTTACATGTATGAATTTAATTTTATATAGGTAGCAGATTCTGTGATGGACTTTCAATTTAATAAAAAAAGGGTTAAATTGTTAAAACAATCAAATAATATAAAAGATTGTAAGGGTATTTTGTATTGGATGTTTCGCGATGCTAGGGTTCAAGGTAAATATATACGACATTTTGAAAACAAATTAGAATAATATAATATAACACGTATAATATATTATTTTAGATAATTGGGCTCTTCTATTTGCACAAAGAACAGCTATAAAAAACAACGTGCCACTTCATATTTGTTTCTGTATATTACCCAAATTTCTTAATGCAACAATGCGCCATTACAAATTCCTTTTAAATGGTTTAATGGAAGTTGAAAAAGAATGTATAGATTTGAATATTAATTTTCATTTGTTAGACGGCGAACCAAGTTCATTAGTACCAAATTTTGTTAAAAAATATAAAATAGGTGCAGTTATTACTGACTTTTTTCCTCTAAAATTACCCATGGGTTTTGTCGAAGAAGTAATGGATAAACTACCAGATGATGTTCCTATGTGTCAAGTATATATTAGAGATTTTTTATAGAAAAATATTCATTACAATTATATTTTTAATATTAGTAATTCTCTATATTTCTTTGTAAAGGTAGATGCGCACAATATTGTACCTTGTTGGCTTGCTTCGGATAAATTAGAATATGCTGCAAGAACAATACGCCCAAAAATAAATTCTAAGTTAGAAGAATATTTAACGGGCTTTCCACCTGTTATTAAACATGAATATTCTACGACAGAATCGTTTCCAAAAAATGAATGGAATAACGCGTTGAAAAATGTAAAAGCAGATAAATCAGTAAAAGAAGTCGCATGGGCGAAGCCTGGATATTCAGGTGGTATTTTAGAATTGGATAACTTTATAAAAAATCGATTAAAAGAATACCATTCCAAGCGTAATGATCCAGTATCCGATGCTGTTAGTCATTTGTCGCCTTGGTTTCATTTTGGTATGATATCAGTACAGCGTTGTATCTTAGAAGTAATGGAGCATAAAAAGACTATTGGAAGGTCTTTGGAAGTTTTTATGGAAGAAGCTATTATTCGTCGTGAACTCAGTGATAATTTTTGTTTTTACAATGAAAATTATGATAGTATGAAGGGTGCCTATGAATGGGCGATAGAAACTTTAAATAAACATAGGTAATTGGTTCGCTGATCTTTTAAATTTACATTAATTTTTTTGTATAAATTATTACAATATATAAATCTATTATAGAAATGATAAACGCGAGTATGTATATAATTTGAATGAATTGGAAAATTCATTGACGCATGATGATTTATGGAATGCAGCTCAAAATCAATTAGTACAGGAAGGAAAAATGCACGGATTTTTACGAATGTATTGGGCTAAAAAAATATTAGAATGGAGTCCAACCCCAGAAAATGCTCTTGAATGGGCACTTTTACTAAATGATAAATATAGTTTAGATGGAAATGATCCTAATGGTTATGTTGGTGTGTCATCAATTTTTATACCAAAACAATAAGTATAAAATCTATATAAATCTGTTTATTGGATAAATGTTACAAAGTTATTATTTTTCTTCAGGTTGTATGTGGTCAATTTGTGGTATTCATGATCAAGGTTTTACAGAACGTGAAGTATTTGGAAAAATAAGGTATATGAATTATAAAGGATGTCAAAGAAAATTTGATGTTAAATCGTTTGTAGCAAAATGGTCTAAAAAAAATTCAAAAAAGAATCAAAAATTATTCAAGTAAATTACTGTAAATTTAAAGCTTTTTTATCTCTTTTTTTTGTATTATTGTATTATAGAATTTTGTATTAAAACCTAAAAAATAAAATACATTACATACAAAAGAAAAGTAAAAAAAGAAATAAAGAAACGAATGAAGAATCAAAAGATGGATTTCATAAGGAGTTACAATGAGAAATAGAATCTGCGTGTCTTTATGCATATAATAACCCTGAAATTGTGAACAGCGTATAATGTAACAGAAAAAAACAAGTTTCTCACGATTGTCATGCAAGGACATGGAGTATTTCAAACGACGTAAGAATAGAGTTCGAATGGCAATGAATCATCTCGTAATTATCATTACATGAATAAATTATTTCATTACTTTCTATCATATCGTAGTATCGTTGATGTTATTAACGAGGAATGAAAAAATATATGTATATATAAGTAATATGAATGAGATAGAAATGAATCGAAATATGTTATTATTCATTTCTTTTTTCAAATCTATAATTAAATCGCGCCATTGATTCGTACGTAGATCGTATTCGGCGCATGCGCAGTAATACTTAATGACACAATTTCAGTTTACAAGACAGTTGTGTAGTAGCTTGAAGATTAGGTCACATCGAGTAGGGTTGAATAAAATTGAATTGGGTGGGTCAAACGTAACAGAACAGTGCAGTATAATATTGTGACACATTGTGTGATACACAAACATCACATACATAGCTGTTGGGTGTGGCACGGTACTTTGAAATTTCCTGGGGTGCGGTTAATACCGTGGGACAACGTTTGATAATAAATAGTAGACTCTTACTTTCAGAGTATCGTTGTCATACATTGTTAAGTGAGTAAAAAAGAAAAGTATAATTAAGGGAAAGCGTCAGTTGGTTTAAAATTCATCATGAAGAAAAGAAGTTTATCGGGAAATATAGGAATAGGTGTGTTTTTATTGGCATTTCTATGTGTATGCATAGCATTTGGTACACCCGCGTGGTTAGTGAGCGATTATCGAATCACTAGTGCACAACTTGACAAGTTGGGCCTTTGGAGTCATTGCTTTAGATCTTTACCAAATCCTCGTGAAGCAGATGCACCAACTCGCTTTTTTGTTGGCTGCAGATGGGTATACGATCCTTTTACCAAAGGTTATTCTGAAATTCGTGGTTTTCTATTACCCCGTAAGTTTACACATTGTAAAAGTATACTTTGATTATTGATGAATATTTTTAATGACAATTCATATAAACAATTTTGTTTTCTGTTACAGCATTTATGATAGCCACACAATTCTTTTTCACAGTTTGCTTTCTGCTTAGTATGATATCATTTGTTGGTATTTTATTATATGCTTTGTGTTGTGGTCAAGAGCAGAAGCAATATGTACAGCTTATCAAGCTCATCGCATATGTGGTCTTAGTTGGTGGCATTAGCGGTTGCATCGCTGTTATCATATTTGCCTGTCTTGGAAATGCGGATGAATGGATGCCTGGTCATACAAATAATTACTTAGGATGGTCTTTCGCGTTAGCTGTAATTGGGAGCGTACTGATGCTTGTAGCAAGTGCTCTGCTTCACATTGAAGCAAATATTCAATATAAAAAACGTAAATATGTTACAGAATCTCAAACTAAATTTCAACTTGAATCTCGTGCATAAGTGAAACACCATATTATGCATTTTATTTTTAATAACATACAGATATTTTTATCTGCTAACTCTCTGATAAAATTTCGTCCATAATGAAAACTTAGAAAGAAGAATAAGATTAGGTTTATATACACATTTATATATATATATATATATATTTTGCACATTAGATTATATACAAATTAAGTCGATGAAAGATTTATATATTTTCATATAATATTTTATTAGTATTTAGATATTAAATAACAGGGAACTATAATATCTTTTTAAAGATATATTATTTTGTATATATTTTTTTTTTATAGATATATAAATTATATAACAAAACTGCCTTTAAACATGTTAAGAAATATTATCATTTAAGCCGTTTAAATGATTTGCCCAAAAATTTCTTCATTTTTACTAAATATTTTTACTTTTATTTTTGTTATATCTATAATGATATTTTCAATGAATTGCAATACATATATTTTTTATGTAAAACATGATACGTGTTTTGGGTATTATTCAGTATTGTAGGCAAAAAGTTTCATGCCTGGTAGGCTATAATTCACAATACTAATATGTAAATGTACAATACATAAACTTTATATTGTTTAACCTTTGTGTTAAAAAAAAATGCAATGGTCATGTAGTCTCCGTCCAAGAGTACAATTTTAAGGGTACATAAAAAATATCTGCGTCACTTTAAGAATTAAGATAAGAACATTTTTTAACTGCTGTATATTATATATAACATATGTTTATTAAAATAAAAAATGAAATATATAATATTACATATCACAAATATGACATAATAAATTTTTTTTGTAATATTAACAATTTTATTGATAACTTTATAGCTATGAAAATTATTTTATATATAATTTGATATATTTGATATATATGATAATGTTGAAGGAACAGGTTTGTAAGATTTCAAAGATAGAGCAGCAGCTTTGAGAGCTAAATTTATACAATTTTCTTCGTTCAGACTTTTATGAATGCCATATATTATTCCTGCAGCAAGACAATCGCCACAACCACTGGTGCTGAATGTTTCATTTGGAATTTTGGAAATTTGAGATAACGGTGTGTATAATCGAGAATTAACTGCACCGTTCTTCATTAGAACACCATTTTCATCATAAAAAGGGTCAGTTTTTTGAGCTTCACGTGTTATCTAAATATAGCCAAATATTATTGTTAAAATAACGAAGAAATAAGTTTTATTCTAAAAGCATGTAATATATACTTACCAAAACACCTTCTGATCCTAAAGTACTTATGATTACTGGAATATACTTTGCTAAATGATTCGATAATTCGTTGAAATCATCCAATGTAATTAATTTATTGTCGGGTACTGGTATATCTAAATATTTACTTATGGCTAATAATTCATTTTTATTTGGCGATACAAAATGCAACGTATTTTCCCATTGCGATCCAATTTCGAATATTTTTGTTGCTACACGTACATCCGTTGGTTCGTACCAAACTGAAACACAAAATTATATAAATAATAAAAATTATAGAATAAAATATATAATCATAAGTTGAAGAGATAAGTTTAAATTTCAAAATTACGCGCGATTAATTAATTAAAATTTATTCCAGAAGATAGTGCCACGTGCGCTCGTAAATTCGTAATATTAATTTTATTTAATTTTCATGAATACGTAATAATCATGTTATTTTTCATTTTATAATGATATAAATAATTGTTTCCTTGTGATTAATTATACTATAATTTGTTTTAAAATTGATTAATATCTTGATCAAAATTTGTATGTTATTGGTATTGTGAAAACGTAACATTAAGGTGTGGCATGTATTGAAACACAAGTGACATCAACTTCAGTGAGCAATATCCTGTGAAAACTTATTTCTTTCAATAATATTTTGGAATAAAGAATATCAAGGAAAAAAAATAACGAAAATGACGGTCGACAAACAAGATTATCCAAAAGCATCAAGTAAGATGTTATTTAAATGATTATTTTAGTATTTATAACATAACCTCTAATAATAATAATGCATTTTGATGTTTTCCTAAATAGATGCTGTGGTTTTTGGAGGCGTTATAACATATATTGCTGGATTACTTTTGTTGATGTCCTTTACAAGGTAATTAATAGAACCGATAGAAAAATTTACTAACGTATAATAATTAATAAAATTCTATTGTGAAATAATATCAATTTTGTTTGTTTCCAGTCCTTATTGGATTGAATCGTATCATGACACCTTTAGTACCTTCAAACATATGGGTCTTTGGGAGTATTGTTTTGATCAATTTCGCTATCCATATTATCAGTTTGATAAATTATTTGATGGATGCCACCATGTTTTTTCTCAAGAATACTTTGTCATAAGGGAATGGTTATTACCGGTTTGGCTTATGGTCGTACAAGCATTTGTAACACTCTCTTTAATATTATCATTTGCTTCGCAAGCAATTATTGTATTGATTTTAATAAGATGGCCTCTGAGATTTGTATTACACTATGAATGGATTCTCTCTGCCGCAGCATTTATATTCAATGCTACAACTGGTAAATATATTAGGATATTATTCTTAAAGGATCATATTCTTAAATAGTTTTCTATATATATATATATATTTGTTATAAAGAAAGATATTAATATTATTTATGTTAAAATTCGTTTGATATTCTAGGTGCCTTATTATTTTTGGCAGTCGCTATATTTGGAGGTCAGTGTTGGCGCAGGGATTGGTTAATGTATCCAAATTTCAATCACTTATCGTGGTCTTATGGTCTCGCTGCTATATCTTTTATGCTTCATTCATTAGCCGCATTTTTATTATATTTAAATGCGCGAGCAGGTTATACATATCGTAAAGAATCTCGAAATCTTGTCATGCAAATGCAACCTAATCCACAAAGTCATCATGCTCCGCCAAGAACCGGATACATATAATGGAAGTAAAGAACAAAACTTACATAGAATCTTCTATAGCTTATATAACATGAGACAAAGATACAGTTGTATTTCATTCAGTATGTCGTACGACGAGTTAAAAATGCGATACAGTACAATATCGTTCCGTCCAAATTAAGTAGGGAGACTGACAATTTTTTTTTAATATAAATATTTACATATATATTAAATTTAACTTCATAATTCCAGCATTATTATCTTGCAGTGCAAGTACCAATAGAAGTTAGTAATAAAATAACACGAAGCAAAATAAGAAAAAGAAAAAAAATATATATATATATATATAGAATTAGAAGAAACAAGTTCGAGATAGTTCAAAATATTGTTACACATATATACTTTTCTTTTTAGATCTTGAGTTACCTGCAATGATCATTAGTTTAGATTTTCTTTTTCTACTTTGATAACGTTAACCGATGATTTGTATTTTTATAATGATTAGTATTCAACAATTATGTTAGTTGTCCATTTTTTATTTTGTTTTTGCTTTTTATAATTTACTTTTTATATTGGAAGAGTTTCGAAAATCTATATATATGATATTATTATTATCATTATTATTATTATTATTATTAAAATAACATATATTAATATAATTAATTATTAAACTTAATTTTGATACGATCGTCATGAAATCAGAGATATAAAAAGAACAAGGAAAGTAAAAAGCTCCGATCGATCGTTCTAAACTTTAATAATGTTTCGTCCATTCGTTTATATCCAAAGAGAGACATTAAAAATGAATATGAAATTATTTTCCATAAAATGTATACACACATATATATCTATATATATATTTTATGGGCACGTTGAACGAAATAAAATATATAATGAAAGAAAAAAAAAAAAAAAAAAAAAAAANTTCGATCGAGATGAAGCTGAACGATAATCTGACAATGGAGGGTAAGTTTTCGATAGATACAGAAAAAAATCGAATAAAATATATAATGAAAGAAAAAAAAAAAAAAAAAGAAAAAACAACAAAAAAAGCAAAAAAAAAATATAAATAAATAAATAAAAGAGGTATACAATTAAATCGATTTTCTCACTAACCTGGAATTTTCGCGTGGGTGGCAATATCTAAGATCAATGCCATAGTTTCCGTGGGTAAATTGGCATCGATGACGATAATGCTAGCTTTCTCCAATTGCGTTTGGTATTTTTTTATTAAATCAGTATCAATGGCAGCGAATGCACTCATTTCGCCCACGATAAAGCAACATTCACCTTTAGCATCAACTATCACGGTGCAACTAAAATAAACAATTTATCAATAATTTAACATTCCACTTAATCGTTAATATATCCTAATCATTATATCGTATCAAAGTTTAATCAAAAGATACGATAAATAAAATGAAAGAATAAAGGACGAGAGGTATTATATATATATATACACAGGGTGAGACTAAAAGTCGTGTAACACCATTACCACGCAATGAATGTAATTATTTTAAATACTTGAACATAATTGTGTTAATAATAAAATTGATGCATGTGACTTTTGTCAAATCCTACTATAATATACTTACATAGAAATTAGATTGTTAATATAAAATTTGTAACGATTAATATTTTCTTTGAAAAAATCGATACGAACTTTTCGAGCAATCCCAAATGCATCTATCAAAATTCGATATTTTAACGAATGATGATCGGGGTAACTATAGATCGGTAACTTAATATCTTGGGTGTTTGGTAAAAGAAAATAAAAGAAGAAAAAAAGAAAATGAAATGTAAAATAAACGTACCTAGCCGTGGATAAATCAGAGGAACGTTCCAAGGTCCCACCACCACCCTTCAAACTCTGGAATATAGCAGTCCCAGGTTCGTCGTTGCCAACGACGGAAATAAAACGCGTATCGTGGGCACCGAGCTTGATCAAAGCGTCGGCTACGTTACGGCCGACACCACCGCAACTTTGTCGACCCTGGCCTGCGTGCATTCTACCGTCCAACTGAAATTATTCCATTCGATTTAATCGAATAAGTGAAAATATATAATGAAAAGAAATAAAGAAATGAAATGAAAGTATAGAGAAAGAGAGGGAACGAATGGAAGAAAATAATACGCTACAACAACAACAAAATAAAAACAAAAACGCATTTAAGTTCATTTCAAGTTAAACGGGAAATTTCAATTTCATTAATCCAAACTATGGATACGTGTATAAGATCGATAGGATCTTGTCGAAAGTATATTAAATAATGAATACTTGTAATTTGTAGATAACGAACGATTCATCGCGAGTATAAATATTAATCTGGAAAAGCAATGTTCCCATTCCTTAAAAAAAGGGAAGAAGAAGAAGAGAATCTAACGAAAGATCGAGAAAGTGCATCTTGAAAGATTTAAAAAAAAAAACAAATGAATGAAACAAAATCTCGTAGAAATATTCCATATGCATTTTGTATTAATATTGTATATAAGATATATTACAATTTACCACGATATAAATATTAATCTCTGAAAAATATTCTTCCTCCTCTCCATTCTCCAAAAAAAAAAAAAAAAGAAGAATCAAACGAAAGATTTAAAAAAAACAAGTGAATGAAACACCAAATCTTGTAAGAGAGAGAAAGAGAGTAACATTCTATCATATATAATATTTTATATATTTCTTCGAGATAGGATAGTATATAAGATTTGGGGAATAATTTATGATAAGAAAAGTAGGAGTCGCGAGATGAGAAAATTTGTAGAATAAGTTGAGAAAAGGTAAAAAAAGACAGCCGACGGACGGTGTGCACCGTTTTAACAGGATGAAAGAGAGGGACAGACAGAGAGAGGAGAGCGCAAGCTCTGGCTGGCTGGCTTTGGTCTTTTCTCCACCCTCTCTGAGCTTTCTTGTGGTGCTTCGGCGCCGAGTAGGGTAAAGCTAACGGTAGTGGTGGTGGGTAGCAATGGTGGTGGTGGTGGTGGTTGGTGGTGGTGGTGGTGATGTCCATCACGTTCTAGAGATAAAGAGAAAGAGAGAGAGAGAGAGAGACTCCCATATCGTAAAAGAGTATTCCGTGTCAGTCCGGTTGCCTACCTCGGGCGCTGCTGAGAGCCACCCTCGCTCGTGTGGCGGACTCGCGTCCTCCCCCTCACCCCTTTTTCTCGTACTCGTTCGTTCGCTCGTTCTCTATCTCTCTCTCTCTCTTTCTCTTTCTCTATTTTTCTCTCCATCTTCGTTTCTCTACATGTTTCTCGCGCGCGCAGAAACCTAAAGCCGCTCGTTTATATCTTCCACTGGCAGGCGGTAGCAGTAGCAGCAGTATCAGCAGTAGCACACCAGTCAGCACCATCAGTAGTGAAATCGTGCGCGTCTTCCTTCTACGTTTCTCTCGAGTGTTTCGGTTACTTCGTATTATTCCTCCTTCTCTTCTTCCTTTTTCCCCCCCTATCTTTTTTCTCTCCTTCTATTTTTATTCTCATTTCTTTTCCCATCTCTCTTTTTTATTTTATTCTTTCTATTTTTCTCTTTCCGTCTGTTTCTTTCTCTCTCTTTCTTCCTTTCTCTGTGTGTTTCTCTGTCTGTCTGTCTACCTTCTCTATATTTCTACCAGAAGAGAAAAAAAAAGAGTACTTGCCAAAAGCCAAAATCTACTTACTTACTTACTACTACTACTACTACTTACTATTACTACCATTTCATTTTCTCAATTTTGTTTTATTCTTATTCTCTCATGTGCGTCTGCTGTCTGCTGTTAGTCGACAGATAGTAGTGGTGAGGTGGTGATAGGATACCGAGTGTTATAATATTATCGTAGAAATAAGTGTTTCATACTCGACATGCTATACGATTGTTCTTACCAGTGTTCAAAAGCTATTACTAGTATTATTATTACTATTACGAAAACTACGATTACGAGGAGAAGGAGGATTAAAACTGTGAGGAATACAAACGATATTAAAAATAACGAAGATTATATTATTATCTCATCTAAAAGAAATCTCGTAGTAATATAAAAAAAAAAAAAAAAAAAAAAATTAATAAGGAACATTGTTGTTTGTCGAGAACATAAAATTTTGTCGCTGTTTAATAAAGTTCCATCTCATCTTTCCTCCTCTTCCTCCTCCTCCTCTTTTTCGTTGTCGTTTTTTTTACGAAAGAGAAAGAGCGAGAGAGAGAGAGAGAGAGAAAGAGAGAAAGAGAAAAAGTCCAAAGAAATAATAATAAGAATAAGAAAAATAAGAGTCGAAGTGGAGACACGAATGTTAAGAAAACGACGGAAAAATCAGCAAGTCCCGGGTCTCTCTTGAATTGGCATGAACGCCGTGGCAAATTTTGACGAGTTGCACGACGACGACGACGACAACAACAACAACAACAACAATATTAACAACAACGTTTACGTAAAAATTAACAACAATAACAACAATAACGATATCAATAAGAACAAGAGAAAGAACAACAACAAGAACAGCAGTAACAGCAACTGCAACTGCAACAACAGCAACAGCAGCAGCAGTAGTGACAGTAGTAGCAACAGGATTAAGAACAAAATCAAGGAAAAAGAGAACAAACAAATCGGTTACCGGGAATTTAGCGGCAATGCACATCATAGACGTTACCTGACGAGCGCACTCGTGCGTACGTGCAAGTCGCAATTCTCGTTATCGACGTTTGATCTCATTGTCAGCGTCAGTGTCGTTGTCAACGTTGACGTTGACGTTGACGTTGTCACCGACGATCATCGTCATCGTCGTCATCGACCTCATCACGGCGAACAACCTAACCACGCTCCTGCGCGCCATTTTTGCATCATCCTTCTAATATAAGTTTATTATTAAGGTTAGTAATAATAATAATAATGTGATAATAATAATAGGTTTATTTTTCTTCTCATGATTATTATTATTATTATTCCACTTATTATTTGATATATCCCTTGCTACCCCAACTACCACCATCACCATAACCAACACTACCAAAACCACCATCACCATCTGATCTGTTCACTTTCGATACCATTTTTTTATTCATCTATCCATCTATCTATCTATCTGTTTGTCTTTGTCCTTCTCTCGTTACGCGCCCTTTCCCGTCTATTCCTCATTTTTTCTCTTTTTTCTCTTCTCTCTCTCTCTCTCTTCGTACACGCTGGATCGATCTGAAGCCGATCGATAGTCGAGGGTGAGTGGGAGGGAAGGCTTGGTATCACAGCGAGGATATCACGTGTGTGTCTCGAGATCGAATGCACAGGATGATGATGATGATGATGATGATGATGATGATGATGATGATCATCAACAGGATCTCATTCTCGTCCTTTAAGGTCCCTTTATTTTGGTCCTTGTATACTATCTCCAAAAGTATTTCTCTGTTTTGCGGATTAAAAATAAAAAAAATGATTGTCCCTTGTTACAATTCATCTCGCTACATTGTTGTGTGTGTGTGTGTGTGTGTCGTAATAGGCTTTGGGTTAATGATGAAAAAAAGGGGATTATTATAGTCGATTTTTCAAGAAAGTCAAAAATAAAGGGGATGGTTGGTTGAGGGTGAACAACGGGGTAAGGGGGAGGGGGAGGAAATCGGCCGCAAACTCCTTCGGGAAGGATGGAAGGAAGAGGTGGGCAGGGGGAGGGGGAGAAGAAGGGGGGAGGATTACATAACGCCAGTCAGTTTCTCTTTCTCTCTCTTTCTTTCTTTTTTTTTTTTTTTATATTTATTTCTTTCTCCTTTTTCTCTTTCTCATTGGCTTCGGTCACCACTACCACCACCACCACCACCACCACTACTATCAACCATCGGCACTATTTTTTTCTTTCTTTTTTGAACTCGTGTAACTGCAGCATTCTTTTTAACGTTCGGCCTCGGACCGTGACAAACATTCGCATCGACGGCTAATTAAAAGCTACTCGCCTCACGGACTTCTCTCTTTACTCCCTCCCCCCGCCCCCCGTTCTCTTCTCTTCTCTACTCTTATTTCTCTCGTTTCTCGATGAAGGAATTTAATTAAAAAAAGAAAAAACAAAAAAGTACACACACACACATATACAGAGAAAAGAGGGGGTGAAAGAGGGTTGATACCGGGGTCTCGCAACCGTGGCATACGGTCGTTTAATTTATCGTACAAGGTCAAGTTTCATTTTTTTCTTTCTTTTTTTTTTATTGTCCAGTCTCATGACACACACACACACACGCATACGTATACGCATATGCATACGCATATCGTGATGAGACAGAAAAATAAAGAAAAAAGTATGAAAAGATATTGAATAGGAAGAATAAAAAAAGAAAAAAGGTAAAAAGTAAAAAAGAAAACGAAAAGACAATGACCAATAATTTAATATCTTTTGAGAAATATTTTAAACCGATCGTTGTGAAAAAATAAATTCTATATATAAATAAAAAATAATATATATATATATATAGTATTACTATATTTCTTAATATAGTAAATATATATATATTCTTAATAATATTAAATATATATATATATATTAGTATTGTATATCATATTGGGTGGACATTGACACCGAACAGAGAAGAGACCAAGAGGACATTGACTGATCCCCGAGAAGATCGCGTTCATGAATTTTGATTCTTACTTATACAAAGTGTATTTAGAAACGATAGATTGACGAGAAACAGTATCAACCACTACCACCACCACCACTTTCTTCTCTCTTACCCTTAACCCCCCTTCTCCTTCCCCGTGTTCTTCCCTACCCCCTCCCCCTTTCCCACCCTTTCCACTCGTTCTCTTTATCGAAGAGTACGAAGCAAGCACGCGCGCGGAGGGCTCAAAACGATCGATGGACCCTTAACCATTCTTCCGTGTTATCGTTACGCGAACCCCTTCCCTCCCCTTCCCTCCTCCACCTCCTCCTCACCCCATCCACCCTACACTCTGACCATCTCTATCAAGCTTTATTCCACGAACGATGCGCCAAAGTGCACGCTTTCCATGCACGTCACCCTACCTTGCACACGTTTTCTCTTCTCCCCCTCATCCCCCTTCCTACTACATTCTTATTCTCTCCTCTCTTTTCTTTCCTTCGATCCAACCCTAGTCCTCTATTTTTTTTCTTTCTTTCTTTAGGATTCTTCCTAATCACTCGCGACTCTCTCTTATTTCTTGTCTCGTGTATTTTTGAAGAATTTTCCCTGTAATTAGGTGGTACCTAAGTGTTCTTATCTTTTTGTTTTTCTTTTTCTTGATATTGTTTTTTGAACCAGTTTAACATTTCTTTATGATTCTTCTTAATCACTCGACTCTCTTATTTCTTGTCTCGTGTATTTTTGAAGAATTTTCCCTGTAATTAGGTGTTACCTAAGTGTTCTTATCTTTTTGTTTTTCTTATCTTTTTTTGATACTGTTTTTTGGAACCAGTTTAATATCCTTTAAATATCTCAGCCGTGTTCAATCTCACTTTTCATCCCTTGTCTAGTTTACCCCCCCCCCTTATCCTTCTTCTTCTTCTTCTTCTTCTTCTGCTGTTTTTCTTTTTATCATAGAATAATGTTCGCTATCATTTTTTTATTATCCCTCTCTCTCTCTCTCTCTTATTTTCTGTTAGAGAAGCAACATAACGCCTCGGAGCTAGGCTAGGAAAAGAAGGGATCGATAATAGAATTGCCTATTGTACTATTATTACGCTAGTGGTACAAGTGTCAGAAAAGGGAATAATATTAATTCGGCATAAAATGTTGTTATACACATGCCCCTGTCATCGTATTCTTATATTTAAGAACTGGCAAATTATCAAATTAACATACGTTTTTCTTTTTCTATGTTGTCGTAGTGTATGAGTTAACGTACTTGATTATTATTCCCCTTTCATTCTTTTCTTTCCCCTCGATATATCATATTTTTGTTCTTTTTCTTTTACACTCCGTTAAAAAATTCATAAGAGAAGTAAATAATATAAAAAAAAACAAGACAAATGAATGAAATCGTTTATAATATTCTCTTAAGTTTTTATACTTTGAAATGAATTATATAAATAATTAATGTTATATAATTCGTATGATTTAAAAGAAGTAATTAAAAAAAAGATGTGTATAATATAAAATATTATTCTATTAACGAAAAACGAGGAAAAAAAAAAAAGAGATCGTCAATGATAATAATTAATTTATAAATATGAATATACACATCAAACGTTCGATGCGACGTGTGATAAATTCGTACGCGTATAAAAAAAGTGTTGCACCTTTTTATTTATCTTTAACATCAATGCATTTAAAATACATACTTGTTTATTTAAACTTATAACAACATGGATCATTCTATACACACACACACACATTTATATGTATATTATATATTTGCTTAATTACGTTTGATCGTTTATATATCATAAAAAAAACACTTTTGATATTTTCTCTTACGATAATCTATTGAGAAGGCCGAATCTGGTTATGATTTTCAACATATACATATATATATATATATATATATATATATGTGTTGGTTTATATAGGTAGTTGTTTCTCGCGATCGATAGCTTTGAAAAAGACTCGTTTTTTTTTTCTTCTTCTTTTTTTTTTCCTAACCACACTAACCACGTACGATCACGATCGTTCAGTACGATACACTTTCACGCGCGTGGGCGTGTATATCTCATCCAGATGGCGAATATAACCAGTTTGATATAGGAAAATGTGCATCGCTTGCACATATGGTCTTCACTCTATCCCCCTACCCCTCTATACTACCCCCCTATCCTCCCCCAACTTCCTCACTCTCACTCCCACATATATCCGAGGAAAATTATGTATTTCGATCGAAGTTATTGTCCTGAAAATGTACTATTACACTTATTAATCTAATATCTATCAAGGATATATATTTTCCTTTTTTTTTTTATTTTTCATTTTATTTTATTTTATTAATCAACTATTATCATTTTAATTTTAAACGTACCCACGACGTGTTTTCTTATTTTTATACGTTTCATATCAAACGACAATTATTATTTTATTTAATGATTCATTTTTAATCTTTTTGATCGTGTTAGTAATACGATAATGAAAGGAAAATACTGTGTTTAAATTAATTGTCAACTACGTGATAGATAAGTCCTGTTGATAAATTTACTTTATTGTCAATCAAACGTTCCTGCTGTTTTTATTGTTCTTTCTTTCTTTTTTCTCTTTTTCTTAACAATCAAAACTTTCTTAGATTTTCATAAATGGGAATGCGCACGACTTATGAACATTTCGTGTTTTATTATTTTTCGTCAATCTGTGTTAAATCTCGTTTCGTTTCGTTTCGTTTCGTTTTCGTTTTCGTATAGAAACGAAAAAATCCTTACGAAAAAAATACGAATTTCTTTCTTTTTTTTTTTTTTATAAATTTTTTTCTTTCATATTAATATAAAGTAGACACTTTCTTTTATAATATATAAAACGAACGACTCTTTATATAATATTCAATGGAGTGTGTACTTTCCTCGAGTTTGCGGATCGAAAATGTTAGATGATGAAAAAAGTAACAAAAAAAAAAAAGAAAAAGGAAAAATAGAGAGAAAAATGACATCATCAACGTAGAGGTGAGAGTATAGGGAAAAGGAAATAAAAACCGTACCCCTGAAAAAAGAAAAGAAAAAA